ACACGCTCAGTAAATATTCCTGACCTTAGCGAAGCATTTTCTCGGCGTCTGGATTTGCTGGCTGCTCGCAATTCTACGTTTCTTGTGTAATTCCTCGACTTTTCTTCTAGGCATGAACCAGCGCGCTAGAGTGATCTCTGTCTACAAGCAGTTATACCATCTAGGTAAAGAGTATCCGAAAGGAAAAGATTGGTTCCACACCAGACTGAAGGCGGCATTCCTGAAAAATCAGGTAGGTCTAGCTATTTTTTGTAGGTTGTAGGTTGACGTCACTCTAGGACTTGATATCTAGAATTCATGTTTTGAGAAGGGAAATGATGACTTTTCCTCTTACCGTTTTGAGTATCGGGATCAACAACACTGACATATCTGTTTGTTAGGCGGGCGATGCCCCACCCATCACACAATGTATCAATAGGACCGGCTTATGAGGGGAAAATCACCCTGTCGAGGGCGAGCTTCGTTACGGGCGGGTTCTCACCTCTGCCGGGTGCGGTAAACTCAACCACCTTAATGTGAGCACCGCTCATCTTCACTTCACGCCCTCTCTTCTAATCCACATGTCCATTTCCTTTTGCCTGTTTCATCGATTTTTATGTTTTTCTGGAGCCAAACAGTACGAGATTTTCGCACCACCCACCTCGATGAATTCATCTTGGACGAGGAATACATCGAGGTGGGCGGCAGTCAATGGTTTTGGCCTAGCTCACCTGTACCCAATTTCAGCCGCGCTCGCACTAACTCAAAAGTTTTTACGACGCTCCTCATGGGGGGAGGGGGTGGTCTCGATGTGTCCGTCTACCGCAACACGTGAAGGAGTCATCCACGAATACGACCCCCCCCCCCAGCCCCCACCAAACCATCTCAATTCTGAGACTCAGTCGACCACGCCCACTTTTGGCCCTCCAGTACGGCCGTCGAGGGGAGAGGAGGGGAGAGGGAATAAATATGTCTCACGAAACAACGGAGGACGTTCTAGTTTTCTCCATTTATTCTCGAAGTTCCTACTTCTGAATTTCTGTGAAAAATTACCACAAACAAGGTCAACCGTCACGTTCGCACTTTTGTAAGGTGCGACTCCCTCCCAAGAGAGCTCAGGTACGACCCCCCCTATTGCTGTGTAAGCATTCTTATACAGAAATGTCAAGACAGCTAACGGTAACTTGTTCGCCAGTGTGACGCACCGCATAATCGTATGAAAAACGGAAGCAATTGAGAAAGGCGCGAAGGATGCAAGCGAAGCTTGGATTCCCGCTAGACGCAGCTGCGTTGCTGCTTGAGGCTAGGAGCGCACCAGGTTTCATCCAGGTGGTAAGAGCATGGGGCGCAGCAGTAATAAAAAATATTTTAAGGGAAAACAACCTTCTTAGAATCATACATCTTCTAGTCATTTAGGGTAGGTTCGAAAAGCGCTCTTGGTGTTCGCTCACAAAAAAGAAAAAAAAAACTACGGTTGTCTCACAAGTGCTTCTGTTACGAAGTGGAAAACAATATTTCTAAGAAGCTGTACCTCGATCTTTGGAAGGTCACAACATC